ATAAAATTATTTTCGTTGCTACTTCATAACTGTAATGTTGCTACTGTTACGAATCGTAATGTAAATAGGTGATATGCAGGATGGTCTTAGGCGACCCCTGTGAAAGGGTCGTTCGACCTCCAAAGGGGTCGGAACCCACAGGTTGAGAACCGCTGCCTTATTGGGTCCCAGCTGTGTTTCAGGTGGAGGTTGGCCCTGGGCATGCAGTGGGCGGAGGGCAGGCTCAGTCTGCCCCGAGAGTCCTGGTGGGAAAGGCAGACCTTCTCAAATAGAGGCCCCTAATCAAGTGGGACACAGGGGTCCAGTGACAGCCTGGCCAGGCACCTCTGGTCTGTTCCTCCGAGTCAGCCCTCCCCGTGCAGCTGCCAGGCTCTGGGGCATGAGGCTCAGGTTCCCGGGACAGCCTGTCCCAGGTGAAGAGGGTCCCAGCCCGGGGAGGAAACATGCTACTTCTGAGGAATGTGGGGTAGCTGGCTGTCAAAGGTCAACTTCTGTTGGGGCTGGTGACACTGCAGAACACATCCGGCACGGGTTTTGCAATATGTATTGTAATCATTTTCACAGCAGTCCTCAAAGAGACCTGGTGGAGCAATGTGATGGTGATAATGAGGATGACCCCTTTTTACAGCCCTGTAAACTAAGGCTCCCGGAGTCCCAGCCAGGGCTCTGCGGGGGGTGGGGGTGGGGCGGGATGGGGCCAATGCCAGCATCAGCTGCTCCAAGCAGACTTGGCCGGGAGCAGGGGTGAGGCATGGGACTTCCCCAGCCAGGCTGCTCTCCCAGAGCACGGGGGCTCTGAGGGCTTAGAGCAGGGAGCCTGCAGGCAGCGCACACCCAGGCAGGCTGGGCCTCCGGCAGACCAGTGGGCAGCCTGCAGAGGTCAGGGCTCACCACGCTTTCTTCTTACTCCAAAAAACAGTGTAAAAAATACATGTTATCTACAAGCTCCTGGGCAAGGTTCTAATTTGTCAGTGTGGCCTTATCACATAGTGGCTCTAGGATTCAACTGCCTGGCTCAAATCCTGGCTCATTAGTTCAGTGACCTTGGACAAGTTCAGTGGTCGGCAAACTGAGGCTGGGCAAACCGCGGCTTGCGAGCCACATGCGGCTCTTTGGCCCCTTGAGTTTGGCCCTTCCATAAAATACCGGCTCTTCCACAAAATACCGACTTCTGCGCATGGGCCACGAAGTTTCAATCGCACTGTTTGTGTGCGCCTGCAAATGGTATTTTGTGGAAGAGCCACACTCAAGGGGCCAAAGAGCCGCATGTGGCTCGCGAGCCGCGGTTTGCCAACCACGGGACAAGTTACTTATCATCTCCAAGCCGCAGGCTCTTCATCAGTCAAATGTGGCTACGATACTAATACCTTCTTCTGAGGTAAATGACATATTTAGCAGTTAGTGTCTAGCACAGCCGTGGGCAAACTACGGCCCGCGGGCCGGATCCGGCCCATTTGAAATAAATAAAACTAAAAAAAAAAAAAAGACCGTACCCTTTTATGTAATGATGTTTACTTTGAATTTATATTAGTTCACACAAACACTCCATCCATGCTTTTGTTCCGGCCCTCCGGTCCAGTTTAAGAACCCATTGTGGCCCTCGAGTCAAAAAGTTTGCCCACCCCTGGTCTAGCACAATGGCCAGGGCATTACTGAGCACACCCTTTAAAACACTAGACATGCATATGATTATTGGGATCCAGATGTGGGCCTTGGACATTGGATTGAATTCAGAGCTGTCATGTGCCGGTTGTGTGACCTCGGGCAAGTGGCTGCCTCTCTTTGTGGGGGACGCTGTGGTCCCTGCCCAGATCCCCATCAGGACTGAGGCTCTCACTCCCCTGTTGCTGGGAGTGTTGGCAGTTGGTGGGTTCAAGCTGGGTTTCTCTCTGGGCCTTGCCTTCTGCTGAAGAGAGCCACCTTGCTCAAGGTAAGCCTGCCCTTGACCTGCATGTGCTGGGGGGTGGAGGTAGGGGTACCAGGCCCTCGTGTCTCAAGGCAGGATAACCCTGGAGGGACAGCAGAGTTCCCGTGGGATCATCCCGAGCCCCCCTGGCTGTAGCACTGCGTTCAGCTCTCTCCCTGCCCACCCAGGAGTCCTCATCCCCTCGCAGGGGTTTCTGAGTTCACGTCCCGATAAAGCTGCACACAAATCTGTCTCGGGGCGTGCTTTCCAGGGAACCTAACCTGTGCCAGTGGAGCCAGGAGAATCCTAGTGATCGGCTCTAAACTGGAATTTTGGCACCAGTTCATCGGGGGGCCAGCTGGCATCGAGGACCTCAGGCAGAGGCTGTGGTGTTATTGTTAACATCTCCCAGGGGGTGAACGGGTCGGGACACTGGTGGAAGGGATCGCACTGGTGCGAGCTGGTCACTGTACGTTACGTCGTGTGCTTACTGTGCTAGTTTGAGCCGGGAGCTAAGTCGCCATCAGTAGAAAGTCCTGCCCCGTAGGCCTTGGTTTCCTGAAAGATGAGGGGGCGGAGCCAACCAATTGGACAAGCTGATTCGCTGAGGCCCTTCCAGCTCCAGCATCGTGAACTAGTGATGGGGGTTTAGGTGGGATGGGCGTGCCCTGGAGCCAAGACAGTGCAAAAAGGAGGGTGGT